TTAAAAATGTAAAAATTCAAGTACTGGTGGTGTTTTATAATCTTGCAGGTCCTCCCATATTCTAAAGATTCTGAAAAAAAGGAGTGCAAAAATTGAGTTTTGAACAATGATAAACTGCTGAATGTGGAATGTATCCCTTCAGCACTCTTCTTTTGCTGCTGTAATAAGGAAAATGAGAAACAGTTTCAAATTCCCTCAGATTAATCTCCATGCTATGCACAGTACTGGCAGCAGAGATTCCAGTTTAGTCAAGCCAAACATTATTCATAGAATAAAAGAAATGCTAAAATTATAAGTTGCCTTTCTGGACTTTTTCCTATGATGTGTATTGTATGGACCACCTGCAGAGTCAGRTCTCTGAATATGATCAGGATTAGAAGAGAATGCTTTGAGGTGAAGAACAAGCTCAGTGCTGTCCCCTTCATTAACACAGTCTGAGGAATCACTAAGATGCTGTTTTCTTGCAGTCACAGGAATGTACTTAGTCAGGAATTCAAACATAAACACACACAAAAGATGATTTGTATAATTTTTGTAGTAATACAGAAGCAAGGTGTCTCTACCTGAACCATCAATAGCTGTTTTCTTTAAGCTAATGAATATATATCACTAGACTGAGGGAACTACCTCTTCCTCCCACTGAGAACTGAATTTCTTTATCTTGACAACTACAGCAGTAATTTACAATTCAAATTAATATTGGAATACTTTTAGTACTGTTTCTGACTTCTTATAGTTTCACTAACAAACAGATGGATGTAAGCATAAGATACACTGAGCAATAAATCCAGCATAAAAACAGCTGGAATAGTAAGATCATAAGGATAATAATTTATGGGTAGATTTCTACTATAAAATTAAAGTTTGTTTTCCCTATACTGCAGTTATGAAAAGAGAGGTTGGATTGTCAGAACAATTGGAAATACTTTCAAATTTATCTGCCTTGTTATAKTACACCTTACAATTGCTTTCAGTTGAAGGAGAAAGAGGAAATTATTTAGTATTTTTTATGATCTTTCCTTAGTAGAAAGTGAAATCTCTCCCCTTTCACAGTATGGGAAGCAAGTATTCATCTTCTGATTCAAAACAAAGTATTTCCAGATTAATATAATAAATTATGTCTCATAATAATGATGTGTGATAATAATCTGTGAATAAACATGATTTATCCACTTGTCAAAAATGCTAAAAGGAAGGAAATTTACAAAGTTCAGTTTATCAAAYAAGGCTGTACTTCAGACAGCCATCTATCCTCAGGTTTTAGTGCAACCTGCCATTTTAACTAAATTTTACAGAGCAATTCAAACATCTGTTTTTATCACTCAACTATTCAATATATTTTTCAGTGTCATTCTAGTCATTATTATATTTCAGACATCTGTATCCTAGATGATTCCAGTACTTACAGTGTTTTGCCATATACACGTTCATGACATAGAAGAAAACTGTATTCATAGAATATTTTCTCACAGAATTTCTCTCCTTTGCCTCTAAAGCACCTTACTGACATTTATATAAGTGTTAGAAAATCAGGATTTTGTGTCTTAGCGGTCCATTTTTCATTCCGTTTAATGACACACTGGAATATTTTCATTTTTTTTGCAGTAGGGTCTTTTCCTAAAGCAAGAGTTGTCAAAACAGGCATGAACATGATTGGACAAAAAAATAAACTAGACCAAAATTAAAAAAAAAAAAAAAAAAAATCACACAGGACCTAAAGTCAATGTTCATATTTTTTCTGCAGAACATCTGTGAAAATGGCAATCTAAAAACACCATGTTTAATACCACAGGGGGTTTATATTCTTCTGCCTGAATGTAAGGACAAATTAGTAAACAAGGAGATCAATAAAAGCCATCAGGCTTGAGTTATGCCAGGCTAATTTGGAGTGGGACTTTAATCTTTTGTTAATTATCCATATACATACATGTATATATTTAATTTATTGAATACTGTACAGTATTCTCTCAATTTTATATTAGTTTCAGACTTACACCTAAAGTCAGATAATACAAATTAAACAAAACAGCATCTGTTATAAAGGACTGTTAATGTTACAAATGTCAAGATGATAAATCAGCATATTCCCACTGCATCTTGTCAAGTTACCTTAACTTTTACTGTGTTTTTTTCTTACAGATATGTCACCGCATGCAAATTCAGGCATTTAGCTCAGCTGCATTCACCAGCTGGAGACCCAAGGTTCCTCACGAGCACAGAGGAAAGACAGGAATTCCCCATTTAGTGCTTAACAGCAAGAACATATCATCAAGATTCCTACTTTGTCTGCAGATAAGTACTTATGCTRTTTAAATGACCTTCATCGTGCATATTTGAAGTTTGATTGATGCCAGCACTCAAGTTATGGACCTGTGTTGACTCGACAGGCTTACACTCCTCTAGACTACACTGAATCGCTTAGCAGGGGATTGATCCCCAAGGCCACTAAATGAAAAGGAAACTTTTCCAGGGAGTTTTGGATCTAGACATCTATTTTCAGCATTAATAGTATTATTTTTTTTGTTTATTTTTAAGGAAATATATTGGGAGTGAAATAAAAGCTGCTCAATAGGTTTGTTATTTAATTTGTGTTACTTGAATAATTTATAAAGTAAGTATATAAGTAAGCCTCTTTTTCAAGAAATGCTTAGTAACTTCTGCTATTATTGTAAGCACTGCCAATGTGTAGGAAAACTGAAATTACTCAAAACATTTTGGAAAAGTTTTAACTATTGATTATTTGAACAGAAATGTATCTAACGTTAGTAACTGGAAGTACCCCAGCAAGTAATGAATGTCCTGATAAATTTTGTTACTGTTAACATCTAACAAGGGGATTTTAAAATCCCCAGCTTTTACTGCTCTCATCTCTCTGAGTAAGCTCAAGCCATTAAAAAAATAATTTCAGGATTTTAAAATAACTGCAATATGAGTAAACACCAATGAAAGTCTGTAAAAGTTTTTCATTTGTTTCATCCACCAAAACAATTATAATATAAAATTTCAAATAAAATACTCTAGAATACATTAGCTTGTTCCTAAAATGTTTCTTCTGGTGCTATGCATTAACTGAGAAACTTTAAGTTTATTCAGACAATGTATATGTGCACACTATTACATTTTAATCATATTCAGAGAAGCATTTTAGTTGTATGGAATATGCAAACTGTTATGAAGATGTCTGTAAGACTCTGGAAGCATGTTTTTATTTACAGCAAAGGGTAGAAGCACTTTGACGAGAATTATTTGAATAACRGAGTTTCTTCTGTATTACTATTTTTCCTTCCTGAAATCATTATCTGAAGGAAAACAAATAATGTAGAAATAAAAAAAGCCAACTAACAAGTGAAATTTGGTATTAGAAGTTGTTTGATTTAGTATTATTTATGTTCAGTCTTGGTTTTCATGAAAAAAATGTGAAAGAGATGTTCACTAATCTTGTCTTTAGAGGCTGAAACCAACCATCCTTTACTACAAGTCAAGGTGACCAGTGGTRTAAATTGAAGTCACTGAAGGAATATTCTCAGCCTCAGCCAGCTGAGGAATATTTTCTATTTCAAGACTCAACACTTTTGGTACATCTACTTGCCATGAACCTGATTGGACCAAGCTGTAAAAAGTACCACACTTTTATACAGCAAAGCAGTTTTGTGACTTAAGCCTATACACACAAAAAGGTCAGAATTTAAAAACTATTTACCTAAACATGTTTTCTTATATCAAATGGGATTTTTTTACTTACTCTATCCATGATAAACTATTACCTTGCTATGCACTTCMCCCAACTTAACCCAAAAAGCCAAGAAAATAAGCCTGATCCAACTGAGTAAGCCTGTTTTAATTTTTACAGGGAAAAATGTTTTTTTTTCTGCTACACTGTGCCCCTGCTAAAATTCTTCTACTTGAATTRGAGAGTGTTTTATCAAGGTATACAGAACTGTTCTTTAATTCTGCAGGCAAGAGTGCCCTCTAAACTAGAGACATGTCAAACACTTGCACAATTAAAAGTGAACACATGATGACTTTTCCAATCAAATTCAAATGTGTATTTGAAAACATTACAGAAAACATCTGCTAGAAGGAAAGACAAGAATTTATGCAAAAGATTGTTGACAATAATTTCTTATTTTTAAGGTTTTCCATATATCAAATATTGCCTTTTTTGAAGACTGATGCTAGTATTATTGCTCTTCCCTGCCTAACTTGTCATCTTCACCACTGTCAGCACAATAAAAAAACTCACACAGTCAAAATTTGCCTCTGCCTTCCCATTAAAACTGAGAGAAGGAGACTTACATGTTCGATGTGTTTCACGCCCAAGCAAGAGTCACTGAAATTCTTACTAAATTATCAGGAAAGTGTTTCCTTTTTGCACTGAGATAATGATTAGTGAATTATGCCTTATATGACTTTACATACACTTCATTCACCATTCATTCCTCTTATCCTATTTTTAGGTTTGTTTGGGGTTTTTTTGTGTTTTTTCTTTTTTTGTTTTTTTGTTTGGTTTTTTTTTTTAGTTTTGTGTGTCAACCAGAGACAAAAGTAATTCTTTTCATTCTGTCCAGGCATTTTTCTTCATTATTTTTGACAAATGTAAGTTGATCTTCTTAGACTTGTGGAATGCAACCAGTTCTATCAGATCTGTGGATGATAACAAAGATTGATAGTGCTTCATGTAACAGGCCACAGCAACACTGAAGGGCAATAACAAACGTTAGAAGAAACAGTCATTTAAGGTTATATTGAGAAATTGTCAACATTCTCATGCCAGCCACACAACAATCACAGTCACTTTTTTGTGTCACTATATAGGAAACCTAGCTTTTGAAACATATACTTTATTGTGTTGAAACATATACTTTATTGTCTGAATTTGACAGTTTTTTTCCCATTATAATTCAGAATCACTCATTCATAAAAGTGAAAACGTTGTAGTGCTATAATTATTGAGAGACGAAAAGAGTAGTGTTATGATATGTAAACATATCATCACTTACCTTCTCTGCTGATTGGGCCGTACCAAAAAAGATTGGAATAAAAGCTAACCAAATTATGCAGGTTGTGTACATAGTAAATCCAATGGGTTTTGCTTCATTGAAGGTCTCTGGAACCCCTCTTGTTTTAATAGCATAAACAGTGCATGTGACCATCAAGAGGATACTATATCCAAGTGAACAAATGAGAGAAAGATCTGAAATGTCACATTTGAGAACTCCCCTGGCATTTTCTGGTTCAAGTGTCCTCTGCTCTCCATAGTCTACGATGGTATGTGGTGGATCAATAGCAAACCAGATGAAGACTCCAATAAGCTGAAAGGATATGAGGCTGAAAGTGATCACCAGCTGAGAAGCTGGACTAATAAATTTGGGAGCTGTGACAGATTTTTTACCTTGTTCAAATATTCTGTGAATCCTGTTTGTTTTGGTAAGCAAGGCAGCATAGCTGAAACACATGCCAAGTCCTAAAAAGATCCTTCGAAAGGAGCACACCACTGTATCAGGAGATGCAATCATTAAAAAAGTAATGGAGTAACAGAGAAAAATGCCAGTGAGGAGCACATAACTGAGCTCCCGCCCAGAGGCCCTGACGATCGGTGTGTCGTTGTAACGGACAAATGTCACAATCACGAAGGTGGTGGCAATTATACCGAGGATAGCTATGAAGACAGGCACGATGGCCCAAGGAGAATGCCACTCCAGTTTGATTATAGGGATAAGCTGGCAATCCGTACGGTTGGCATTTGGTCTTTTATTAATGGGACASAGTTCACAGTTGAATTCATCCACCTGGTAATGGTAGCCCTCACAGCGCTCACAGTGCCAGCAGCAGGGCACTCCCTTCACCGTTTTCTTTCTTTCCCCGGCTTTGCAGGGCAGGCTGCAGACAGATGCTGGATGAGTGCGTTCTCTGTTAGCCCACTGCATGTCTTCTACCTGTGGGTATAAAAAATTAATGAGACGTCTATTTTCCTTCATTTATAATATCCTAATCCTGGCCACAGGTTTGTCATAAATCACTACATGCTGACAGCACAAATACAGTTTACCATAATAAGAAACCTGTTTMTTTCCCTTGCACTGACTTTAAAAAAGTGTTAAATGATTGTGTCCAATAAATCATTCATGCCACAGGCTTGATGAGTGTCATTAGTTTCTATTTACCTCTTTACTGCTGACCAAATTGACATCTGTAAAGATATTTATTGACTCCAGGCTAGTTTAAAAGCAAAAAGCCCCATATGCAGTGCTTTAAAAAGTTAATCACATGCAAATAAAAATATCAGTAGTTCTCAAACATTTAATTACAAAATAAGTCTATGTGAGCTTCAGAGCAATTTCTGGTACAGCAAAAAAATAGATTAAAATATCCATGCATCAGCTCTGGCAGAATAAAGAGTGCCAGAAAAGAAAGATATATGATATCACTCYTTCCATGAATGCAGATATTTTACAYATTTCCACCTTCAAAGCTTTAAATGCTCAAAAGTGTTCTGTTTACATTTCTAGAAGATTAAAGTAAGTATATACTACTTTCTGAATAATAATGGAAAAGGATGTCATGATTACTGCTTTAGTTCTCCTGATAACCAGGGATCCTTTTGTAGCCACAGAACAATTGCAAACTTCTTTTAGAAATCCCAGCTTTTTCCACAGCAGCACATTAACAAAATACACATTTTTTTCATCCACCTATCTATTCTTCCCACATAGCCTGCAAACAAAATCTGAATAGGAAACTCTTGGATTTAAAGAATTTCCTACTTAACATTATCACTGAGGTTGGTGCCAGCTGTCCTTAGCCCACCCTTAGTAAAACCCTGCTCCACAGAGGTCACTGAGAGTGAATCAGAGCAGAGGGTGGAGCAGAGCCACTGAGCCACTTGTAGGCACCAGAACCACTCCTTGCTGCTCCAGGCCCCACCTTTTACTCTTTTGTGAGGTGGAGAGCACTCAAGGACAAAGGGCTTCCCTTGTTCTTGCTTATTAAGTACTTAGCACTTTCATTTCATTTGAAGGCTTTATTTATAAGTGAAACAGCAGTAACAAAACTTCAGGCGTCAGGAATACTTTCAGTTCCTTCTGGAGGAGGACAGAATGAGGACAGCTCATAAAAAGGGATAATTTTGGCCTTTAAAGTTTATTTTTTCAGCAATTTYTCAACAGATTTGAGAGGAAATCAGAATGTAGCATTGCTGGCCTTATGTGCCTTCCTCAGAGAGTCAGAGCACCGGTTACAGCCCTGCACAGGGTGAATAAAGCAGCAACACACAGCCCGGCCTTTCATCTCTCCTGTGCCCCTTTGGGGAGGACTTTGCTCTTGCTCTCCACTCCCAGGGGCAAACAAGGGACCACACAGGAACAAGGAGACAAGAAATGTTCATGTAACCGGCTCTGTGAATCCTCAGAGTCACTCCAGGACTTCAGTGGGAAAGGGATCCCAAATCCCCGTAAGTCAATCAGATTTTGTATCAACAAYTGTGATGACTACGCAAAATACAACAAGCGGTGACTGTGGAAAAAAAAAATCATTTAAACAATTAGCTTCCTAAAAACACAAGAATAACCCAGTTTTGTATGAAACAGCTTTKACAGAGCTCCAGCAGTGCACTTAACTTAATAAAAAAATTTTACCTCTGTAAAAATCTCCTGGTTTTAATCACTGAAATCCTCAAAGCCCACATARCCCTTATTGTTTCATCTACTAGATGTGAGAGAAAACATGCTATGATGAAATCAGCATGATATGAAAGACAATTCTTCTTCACATTGTTGCTAGGAGAGTAAATACAAAGCTTGTCATTTAGTCACATACTGCAATAAAGGGGGCAAGAGTAGGCCATGCTCATTAATCCAGATCTGTGGAGAAATTTGGGATGACTCAGACAAGAACAGTACAACATAATGGCTTGATTATACACACAATATAGAATCACCAGGGGAGCAGACAGCACCTTATCCAGCATAAACTCAGAATGGCATGGACAGGCAATATCTCATTCGGCAGAAAGCCTGGCAGGATAAAGCTTAGCTGTCCAATTTTTAAACACATTTGAACTAGTAAGGTGAGTCTATACCAGATTAGTACTTAATACCATGAGGCTACAGTGGTTCTTATCTGGCATTAAGCATCCTAAGGTCACATTTACTGTATTGTGAATCGATGGCTTAGATAAGTACAGAGAATTGCCTTTTGTCTTTTAGAGCTTCTACCTCAATAATAAAAAGCCCACCTTTTTATTTTACAGCTATTTATTATTTCACATGCTTTTCTCTTGACAATATTTTAATTGTCTAAAAATGTGCTTAAAATCTCCTCCTGGTTGACAAAATATTAAAGTGCCTCAGGTTATGCATCACATTTGTAACAAGTAATAATACATTCCTACTTCTGAAGCCAACTGCTAAAGATTCATATTATGTTTTTGACTCTGGTACATCTGACACAAACCACAAAAGTTATAATTTCCAGCATGGCAACATAAAATTATGAATATTGAAAAACTCACTGGATAAAGAACTTTTTTCCCTAATAAATTAATTAGGAATATAAGCACTATTGACTGGTATAGAAAAACTCAAAAAAATAACGGATTCTGAAAGCACAGAAATTTTAGTCAATGTAGAAAATAATCCGAATAAATGGCTGGGGCAGGTGTATTTTACAAGGTATAAATCCTGTGTTTTAAAATCTGGATTGCCTGGATTAATATTCTAGGCAAATATTCCAGGCAAAAGAACACATTCCAGGTGACCTAGATTTATCAAAAACCTTTTAAGAAAGAAATGTTATGAGTTCTTGCTCATTAATTTTGTATTTTGCTTTCTATTTAGGAAGAAAGAAAATATATAGTCACAAAAAACATTGGCCAGTGTTTGAAATCGAAAATCCCTTCAAGATACTTGWAAATCTGAGAAAATTCTGGCATTGTAGGATGTTAATTCTGGAAGATGGAAAGATGGGCTTCTCCCWTGAACACAACCATCTGATAACTCAGTTAATAGCTACATTAACAAAGTGGCACAGTAAGGGCCAACTGGCATAGCAAAGCTGTTAATTCTGAGGACTTGATGTTCACATTCGTTTGTATTTGAAATTAAGAGTCTGCAGAAGAARGTTGTTTTGACCAAATTTTGACATRGTTCAGTGGCCTGAACAGTGGTTAATGAAGATTAACTGTCCATCTGGAAAGCATATTCTGTTTTCATTTCAGCCAAAAGCCATCAGTTCACATAGCCCAAGAGCCACTCCACGGTGAGTGGGTGTGCTGAGTGGGAATAGMTGGAAGGTTCCATTCACAAGCCAACTCTTGGTTGAAACCCAAACACTGATGTGTGTGCTGTATCCTCAGACTGCAACTTAGACAATAATGTAGTAGAGGCAGAGAATAGGGCAGGGGAAGGTACAWCTCAGAGGGAGCACTSTGTGCTTTTATTACACTTGAACAGGTCTGTAAAGTTTCTGTATATGCAGCAAATAAAAACTGAAAAGCTATGCTATTTCTGGCCATCTGGTTCACTCCCAGCTATCCACAACCTGCAGCAGTCTTTGCCTGTAATGTATTTTTGAACTATTATTTTGTATAATATAAAAGTAATAAGCAAATCCAATACAAGATGTAATTACAACAATATTCTTAAATCTCTATCAGTTCTTTCACTGATTGTATGTATCAAAGATTCCAGTTTCTTGAACTTGTGCAGGAGATTCACCCATGTCATTACTTTTCTCTCTTTATGAGCTAGTACTATTGATCCCACTTCTCCTCTGAGATAAACTTTATACAATAAATAACAGCAGAAACTGTAAAGAAACAATAAAGCAATGGAGGATCATTTGGGAACATAGTACCAAGAACAATCATAATTTCCAGAACTACTGAAAACCTGCAATAGTCAAGCTTTAAAGGGAGTTACTGGGTGCTCAGCCTCTTCTGAAAATCATATTTTTTTTATGTAGACATAAACACTTAGCAGTGGAACTTTCAAAAGTGCCAAGGGGAACTTGCTCAATACAGCTAATTAATTTAAATGAGAGTTAAGTGCCTTGTCTGTTTAAGTACTTTGGAAAATCCCACTTTGCTTCCATCTGCAGTTTTCACAACATAAATACTTTGGAAAACTTGCCCTAAAGTGATCTAGAGGTTCAAATGTTACAAAACTAACTTCACAGGATGTTAACTTTAGGCATACGTTTCTAAAGCAGATTCTCATGGGGAAGAGAAACTGATAAAGAGGCCAGTCAGACAAAAGAAACACAGAAAAGAAGGTGCTTTTTGACATTGAAAAAGGATTAACTTCTGCATCTCTTCATCTCTTACTGATTAAAATATTTGGATCTGCAGCACGTTTTATACTGCTCAGACCCTGCCGAGGCTGAGCAAGTCTCAGATTGTTAAGTAGCCTTGAGTAAACATGGTTTTGGAAGACTTTTTTTGTCACCTCATTTTCATGTGACATCTTCTACCTGCGGTTCACTACAGTATGATATATTAAAATGCAAAGTTTGTTGCTAAATGTATTTGAAATCATCTAGATCAGCTGGACTGGRTTAGCCTACTCTGTATCTATTATTAGTAATGGTTTAAACATTATTTCAATTTTATTTGAGTAGCTTCTCTGAATTTGGAGTGTCTGATAGATTGATGTGCCATCATGAAATACCTCACATTTCCCTAGGATGTGGTTCCATTTCTTACCTGAGTGAAAACATCAGAAATACTTTGGCAGCATGTTTGTAAGACATGTTTTCTTTTTCTATGAAATGCATCATGATACAAAAAGAGAATGGCTTCATTGTTATTYCAATGGACATAAAAATCATCTCTACATGAGATATCTGCCTGATGGAGCTGCAATTTGCTTTAATGTGCAGCATTAAGATTCACAGTTCACTAAACCATTAAAATACAGACAAAATGCTATTTTATGTCAAA